ACTCATGAAGGGAAACCTGGATGTTGGCAAGCTGTCACAGAAACAGAAGGGGACAGTGTTTCTCAGCTATGACTGGAAAAGTTTGTGAATATCTCATTTCATCCCATGTCTCAGTCTAATTTTTGTTGCTGTAATGAAATACTCGTGACTGCATAATTTACAAAGAGTAGAAGTTTATTTGACTCACAGTCCCTAAATCTGGGAAGTCTAAGCATTGGCACTGGCATCCACTTAGCACCCAGTGAGGGCCATCTTGCTGTGTCATACATAACAGGGCAGAGGAAGCTACATGGTGAGTGTCTTACTTTTCTCATTGCTGAGACAAAATTTGCTCTGACACTGGTTTGTGTCCGGGTGTCCCCCCAAATCCTCATGAAGTCATGGGGCAGCTTCTGGAGTTTGTGATTGATTCTTGATCCAATGCTGAGATTATAGGGGTAAGTGCCTTGGGACACACACTCTGCCTTGCAGTGTAAGCAGGGTAGAGAGGCCAGCTAGCTGCCTGGGCTGCTGCCACTCTGTGCTCTCTGCCCTCTGCCATGTGCCACTCTGCCTTGGAGCCAGCTGGGTACGGACTGAAACCCCCATTAACTGATCTAAATAAACCTTTCCTGTCCTTATTTTTGGTGTCAGGTATTTGCCCTAGTAATGAGAGAAGAATAACTGAGACAGACCCGAAGTTAAAGGAGGAAAGTTTTGTTTAGTTCAGTTTGTAGTGGTTTCAGTCCACATCTGGTTGGCCCCGAGGCAGGGTGGTGTGGAGAAATGGTTCACAGTGGGCAGAAGGTAGCAAAACAAGGAAAGGGAAGGGTACCTTAGCAGGTTTACTCTCCCCCATTTATATTCTATCCAGGCTCCCAGGATTAGGGCAGTGCTAAGCCAGTCAGTGGATTGATTTAGTTATCAAACACTCTTAATCCCAACATCACATACTAGCTACCTCTGAAAAAGCCACACCTATGACCATATGAGGTTTTAGGGGAGTATTAAGACACAAACAATAATAGTGAGACAGAACAAGTGTGATAGCATGGGTCTCTTCCTCTTCTAGAGCCACCTGTCTTATTATGTTGTTTCCTAAAGGTCTCATCTCCAAATTACCATCAGTAGAAGAATCTGGGCATGATTCTAGTACATGAGCTTTTGGGGTCACATGCAAACCGTGGCATCTGTAAGGCACTGCCTGAGGCAGGGGGACCACTTCATCCCCAGACAATGTGGTAAAGGAAAAGTCTCTGTGGGCAGGAAGGACTGGTGTGTCATTCCCACGTCTGCAAACCTCATTCCTTTTCTATTAAGGGCTCAAAGATGGTGAGGACATTCAGAGTGATTCCCAGGAAGTCAGTGGTGCCCTGAGCCTAACGGAGCACAAAATCATGGTTATGATTCACATTTCTCTTGATGATGACAAAGCCAGGCATCAAACTTCCTTCCTCTGAAGTCACTGCTGCACCATAGCCCTGCTACCTCTGGCCAGAGAATCTTTTCTATCCCAGGTCACATTTTTATCTTGTACCTGGTCCAAAGCTTCTGATGGTGCAAGGAGCTGGAAACAGACTAGCATAGGTTAGATCCCAGGCCCATCACTGGCTGGCTGTACAACTGACTTTACCTTTTAGCTTATCAGAAAAACAGTGGTTAATCTCTGCCCTGTGGAGTCACAGAAGATTAAATGAGATAACCTTTGGGAGGGTGGTGGAGGTCCCTAACTTGAAAGATGCAGTATCCTCTGTGTCACACAGGGACCACCCACTGTTCTCTCTCTAGCTTTTCCCTTCCTGGTCAGCAACATCACTCAAGTTAGTATTGATATGCCAGGTGCTTGCTTGCTTTTCTTTCACTGTGTAGCTCTAGCTGGCCTTGAACTTGCAGTGATCTTCCTGCCTGACTCCTCGGTGCTGGTGTGAGCCACCATGCCTGGCTTCCTCCCTTTTTATCCATCCTCCAGAAGGCTTCTGACTGGTGAGCAGCTGGGGAGGGTGGGCTCTGGGATGTGAGGTGATGCTCTCCCAAGCTGGGCCATTCATCACCCTAGCAGACTTCCAGTGCTAGGACTCTGCCAGCTCCCTTTAAGCTACGTTTGGTGCTGTCACTGCCCTTCCTTATCCCCAGCCAGGTGATGGTGTATCCACTCAAGGCCATTCCAAGCCATATACTCTCTGCCTCCCCTCTCCTTTGGGTACCTCTTTTAGAACCACTCCTTGGGGCTGGGGAGATAGCTCAGTAGAATAATTGTTTGCCTAGCAAGCGCAGCATCCTGAATTCAATCCCTGGTACTACAAAAAACAAACAAAAGTCATAGAACCACTCCTATTGGGAAGCCCAGGCAGGGGCTCTGAGAACTGCTGTTCCTGGAATCTCATGCTAGGGATTGCTGGAATGAGTTTTCTCACCTAGCTGGGAGCTCCTGGGGAGGTGGCCAGAAGTCTGGGTGGAAGAATACTCCAAGGGCAGAATTAGGTTTAAATTCTAGCTTTACTCTGTCCCAGCTGTCTGAGGTTAGGACTGTCTTAGGTACTTTTCACTCGTTGCTGGGACAAATACCCCACACTCAAAACGAAGGAAGGAAAGGTTTATTTAGCTTACAATTTGTGGAGGTTTCAGTCTGGCTCCAAGGCAAATGGCAGCAGTTCGTGATGGCAGAAAACAATGAAGAGCAGAGAAGAACAATAGCTGCGGCATCCCTGTCTTCCTTCTATGCTGACACTGTGGCACGATGAAGACCGGGACTTCTCCAAGAAAGTGGGGCCGCAGACTTCTACAATAAAGCAAGGTGGGCGAGCAGCGGAGAAGACTTCCTCAACTCCTTCATACACATTTTTTATTTTAGGGAAGGGTCTACAGGGCGTTCATGATATCACTACTAGATCGGACTGGTAGTGATCCGCCTGTTTATAGCTTCCCGAGCTGGAATTACAGGCACATGCCACCACGCTCAGTCTCAATTGCTGTCTCAGCGTGCCCCGGGGGCAGGGTAGGCACCACAGGCCCCAGGATCAAAACCCCTGCCCCTGCTTGCAGGTGCTTTAATCCGCTGAGCTATTTGGCTGGCCCTATATACACTTAACATTGAGTCTCTCTGGATAACCCCCCCCACCCCCGTCGCACTCTAGGGCGGAACCAATGGCGCCCCAGGGCGGGGCCCCACTGGGCGGAGCCCATCCAGCCAAGCTTCTAAATCAAGTTGACACAATGTATCAACTACCTCAAGGACATTTTAAATTAGTCCTTGCTTCATCCGCAAAATGGGATAACAAGACTGCCCTCACAGGAGTGCTGCAAAAATGAAGTGAGAACAACTACACCCAGGGCTGGGAACTGAATATGCAGGATGACAAACAAGTCACTAGCTACTTGTCTTTGTGTCCCTTGGGCCCATAAACAGCAACATACAAGATGAACCGTGCATTATGCTAACTGCTGAAAGGCAGTCACTGGGTTTCTGGGAAGAGGTTCAGGATGGGGGCTGGACAATATAAGTGATCATTTACCTTACTCTGGAGTCTTGAATACACACAGAATAGGGACAGTGGTTCAATGAGGCACAGGAACCTGATGCTCAGCTTCATCACTGACTCATTAGCCTATCTCTCTGCAGCTACATCCTGTCCCGCTCCTCTTCCCACACACCTGCCAGCAATTAACAGGTGAAAAAGCAACTTCATACTCTTAAAGCAAACTTAAAATACAACCCTTTAAGTACTACTACTCTTAAGAGTACAACTTTTTACCCTTAAAGCAGCGTTTAGGAAGGAATACACATAACTGTATTTTTATTGACTTCTGGCTTGTGACAGAGGCAATGAAAGCAGTAAAGGAAGGAGCACCTGCAAGGTCACAAGTCCCAGGAAAGTGGGGAAGTGTGTGGTGTCACTACTGGCCCTGACCAGTTCTTTATCATGTGTGACAGCCTGAAGCATTCCACTTAAAAAAACAAGTAATAGTGGTATTTTCCAATTCAGAGGAAAACCCAAGTTAATGGATGAAAATTTCAATCAAAAGTTCTCATATATTTTTCTCTAACCCATGATGTCTGGATCCACTGACTGCCAGTAGACCACACTGTCAATAAGTAAGTCAGAGATGATGAATGGGATGGTCTACAAATGGCTGACCAAGACAACCTGACAGCTCCTGTGGACACATCTGCTTGTGGTTGTGATTTTTACGTAGTGTGTAACTCATGCTCTGCCAAATTATTCCTGTTCCACTGGATGAAGTTACAGGCAAGTTTTCTGTTCCTAAGGCCATGCCTCCCAGGCGCTCCTTGACCAGGCAGGACCTCTGAGAAGCTGTTGTTCCTGGAGGAAAACACAGAAAGCTGGGCACTGGAGGACAGTGTGGACCACTACTCTGCAGGTTGAATGCGGTGGGCAGCACAACTTACACTGAAGGAGGGAATACAGAAACTAAACTTTTGGATTTGTTTCTGGGGTAGACACAGAAATGAATCTACCCAGACAATAAATTCTCATAAAAGAAATTCACCAGAGTAATCTCTTACTGAGCACAAGATCCCAGATCAGGAGTGGCGGTGACAGTTCTCACACACAGTAGCTCTTGGCTCCTTTTACTCCCGGCATTCACTTTATTGGCCAACTCAGCACACACATTCAAGTCAATACGTCAGAACACACTGCATGAACAAAATCTCTTGAGACATGGCCATGCTCACTGTTTTGCTCTCCTGGCATGAGCAGCTCCACCACCTCTGGGAGGCAGATACTCAGGGCTCATGATGTGAAGGAAAAGGGAGCTGGAGAGGGACAAGATAGCCAGAGCTCCAGTGGGAACCTAAGGTTACGGCCTCTCAACATCGGTGGGCCTGTGGATGAGGCCCCAAGCCCCGCAACGTGTGTGGAGTCCCTGGCTCTCAGGTTACCAATACCTCCAGAGCTGACCTCCAGGGAACCACTGGTCTCTTACTGCTCTTCCAGGAGTAAGGACATAACTTGCCTGATGTCAGATGAAAAGACTCAAAGCACGCAGCACAGTTTTTAAATAACTTTATAATTTCCTGATGGATTTAGTTTGTGAATAAAAAAGAAAAACATGAACAAAGTGTTTACAGTAATAAACAAGGCAAAGTTGAACAGAACACAATTTCTTTGAATGTCCTTGTCCAGCTGGCAACATGACCTCAGTAATGACACACGTGTACAGTTGAAGGCAGTAGGTGTGTTTGCATCACAGATACCACCATCAGGCTGCTGCTGCTGTTATTGAAAGGGACTCAAGCTACAATGGGCCAGTACCCAGCACTCCCCAGCTCCCCACTAAAGTGCAATGCATGTCTTTCAAAGAGGGGAGCAAATCCCAAACACCCATTCGGGACATCCTGACACTATGTGGTAGGCTCCTAGTCCTGCAGTGGGGAAGGCTGGCCTGACAGGTGGCAAGTGCCTTCCAGCAGGTCTGGCTGTCTCAGAGGACAGATGCAATACTGGTGTGGCATGGGAAGAAGGGCAGCTGAAGTGCTCACTCTGGCCTGGGGATGGGTTCTCACTTCAGCATGGTTCACTGTCTTTCCTGACTATGGTATCTCTAGGGCCTGACTAGAGTCAGGGCCCAGGAGATGTGGGCTTAAAAAGCTTCAAGGGAAAGAAATCTAGGGTCTGAGTTGGAAGGAACCAAGTTTTGAGAACAACTCATTGCACTGGATTGCAGGCTCCAGGCTGGCCAGTGTGGCCCTATGGGATGGTCACTGGACGATATAGCACCAAGTGGGTAGGAAAAAGGTTCTGTGGCCTGCCTGGCAGGGGCCAAGGAGTCAAAACCCAGTTGCCACACAATGCTAGGCACACTGCGCAGGGACCTAGATGGAGTCAGGGTAGTTCTGGGTCATCGACTCTGAGACCTGCACCCAGAGGTCCTGAGGATGTATGGGAGAATCCTGGCACGACTGAGCGCCTCTGTGCTCCGAGATTCTCATTTCTCTTATCCGGCAGTTGTCAGCCACACGCAGGCAGTCACCTCCCCGGAGTGGAGTGCTGGTCTGGCTGACACCTCAGCCAGTGTGTGTGGGGGGAGGAGTTTGGCTGCCCCATAGCTTGAATTTCTTTATTAACATGGTATTGGTTTGCATTTTAAAAACACAGATTTTTTTCAGTTCTACAGCTACTTTTTAATGTTTTAGTATTTGCAACAAAGGACACAAAGTAACTGCCCCAATTCTCTGAATCACACAGACAATATTGACAAGCACAGAAACAAAAAGAGGTGGGAGGGGACAGAAAGTCACTCCCTCAAATTAACCCCTAAAACCACTTTTCCCCTAAAAGGGGCAGGAGAAAAAATACCTACAACAGAGTCACAGCACTCACTAAACACATTGGAAAAAAAAAGTCAGGAGACACTTGGTTATACTTTAACCCTAAAAAGTTTAGAAAGTTTTTGCTTAAAAAGAGTAGGTAAAGACAGCCATTTTGTTCAGAAGGATTCCACTTAATGTATATTTTCTTTCTGGATAATATTCTCTGTCACATGGGGAAATCTGTAGGTTCTTTTTCAAACGTTCTTTGGAGGATTCTAGTCCTTCCTGAGAAACCCAGGAATTGGCAGTGATGGAGGGCTGGGCTCACAGAAGGCAGCTCGCGTGCTACAGTCAACTCTCCTCTTGCTCCTCTTCACAGGAATGGACTTCTGCAGGTAGGGACATGAGGATAGGGAGGCACATAGGAAAGTCACTGACACTGTTGACACAGGGTGCACTGGAGCTTGGAAAGGCCAAGGGGGATCTCATTCTATGGAGCAACAGATTCCTTGCTTTGCTCTTTCCTCAAAGACCCTGAGAGTAGCCAATGGGCCTATGCATAAGTGACGAGGTCAGACTGCAGGGAGTGATGGTTCCTGGATCAGCAGTCCAGATGCCAATCATGACCATCAGTGGGCAGGGGCGAGGGCAGCCATGGACTAAAAACTCTGTGATGACTTCTTTTCCCTCTTCTCTCACTCTGGTGAGTGGTAAGTGATCCATTTCTTCATGGAAAGCATATTTTAATTGACAAAAAGTGGCAGGTCACACTGCCTCTAGCAACACTGAAGGTGGTCTTGGCTTCAATCTGCTTTCCTATTATTTTAAAGCTCCAATGTAAAGAGATGCATTTAGATCTTTAGATTGTAAGGTTTCATGGACAAAGTTAGATTTGAGATAAATTTAGGATTCTCTCATTTCTTAATTAAAGATCATTTAAAGTCTTTTCCATTACAAATGGTATTCCAGTCCTTACAAATCTCAATTCAGATACTTTACTGTTAACTCAAAAACTACCCAGGATCCAGGGAGATGAAAAGATGAGAACCACACAGCACTTCTTTAGTCATGTGTCCCAGGTGGCCTCTACCCTTTTTTCTCACAGTCCTCTTCATGACAACTTTGGTTTGGAGTATAGACTTTCAGGTACTAAAGGGTGACTAGATTTGTCAACAGAACAGATATGAATGGGGAAGACGACAAGAGCCTCACAGTGAGTTCTCAAAGCTATACACACGAAGTGGCAGGGGAGTGGCCTGCAATTCCATGAATACCACAGGAGGGTCATGGAATCCCAGTGTGGTGGGAGTTGTGCACTTCACAAATGTTGACTCACTGGAAGATTCTGAATTCACTAAAGTACCCCCAGTGCTGAAAAATGAATTCACTTTGTCCCTACAATATAAAAGAAGGCCATGTTTACTGTCAGACATCAGCCAAACAGTTCCCAGGATCATTTGAGTTGCTAGACTGCTACCCAAGAAAGATTACAGACTTCTTGCCGGGCTGCATAGAGGTGGTCTGCTCTGGAAATTTTTCTTCCTAGAAGCACCTGTCAGAGGGCTTCACAGTTTTTCTGAAAGGGAAGTGCTCATGGAGGCTAGGTTGAAGAGAACATAGTAAGAACAGTGAGAGCCACATACTGAAAGGTCAGAGTGGCAGCCACTGCACTAGGTGACAGAAGCTGATGGGTAAGTCCAGGGAGCCTGTCTATGTCCCTTGCCGTGTCTGGGCATGTCCTCTTCTGCTTTCTCTATTCCACTCTAGCCCTGAAAAGGCCATTATCATACCTCAGTTCCTTATACTATTATGGCCAAAGTGAGAATCTAGTATTTCAGCCCTGCAATATTTCGTACTTTCTACAAGACTTAAGGGCAGTCAATAAATATACAGAACTGAGGTAACTGCTTATCACAAACCACCACTTGCCATCTAATCCATGCACCTCCTCCAGCCAGCCATCCAGCAAAAAGCAGCTCAGTGAGAGGTTTATGGACAGAGCTTATTAAAGCCTTTAATAAGGAGTACCCCATAGTGTCTCACAGGAAAGGGATTGTTTTATAGCAGGAAAGCAGGGGAGCTACAGAAGTGACTATGTAAGTTAATGGGACAGGAAAGGAGATCCTAGACTGGTGGCTGTGAGGTCTTTCCATGCAGCATGAAGTCTCTTGGGTAAGTGCAAAGGAGAGAAGAGATCCAAGACAAAAACACTTACTCCAGCAACTCTTCTCAGAAGATGAAAGGGTTTAGAGGGGTTTTGGTGAGAGAAGTGGTCAGAAGGCAAGCTTTGGGTCAAGTGGTCTATTTCTTGGTACCTAATTATTTGCAACTGTCATTGTCTTTGAGAAAATTATCTCCAAAATTCTAATTCCTTCATCTGGACTTACACTTTTTGGATTTCAGCATAGAGCTGGCTGAGTTCTGAGTTTTATGTTAAAAAAAAAAAAAAAAAAAAAAAAATCTCTTTACAGTGGGTACCCAGAGTCTTCTAAACAGGACATAGTTTAAGGGTATCAACCACAAACAGCAAACCCTAGCCCATCAACAGCGATACTACAAAAAGGTGATGAAAATCCAAACCTATCACTTCCTTTATAACAAGAACTATTGACTTGTGAGATTTTTTCTAGAAAAGCCACCTTCTGTTCAGATGAGGGTGGGGAAAGGTCTGATGCTTTACTGCTTTGACTTAAGCAAGTATGTGTCAAAGAACCTACCATACATTTTCATCACTGAAAAGAGACATTTTCAAGCATGAGTATGTGACACATTGACTTGCACTCAGTAGGGATTTTCATAAATAATCTCTGAATAAAGGAATGCAGGATGGAATGTGTGTGGGATAAGACAAACTCATTTGTCCTAGAAGACGGTTCCCAGTAGTGAATGGGGCTTGGATTCTGAGAACACAGGTCAAGGGCAAAGTGAGGAGTGATGGATTCCATGCTTCAGAAATTACTATGCTGCAGAGGCTGGGTGTGGGTGGAGGGAGGCAGGTGGCATTCTGGGAGTTGTAGAAAGAAATTGGACTGACCCCAAGGAACGTTACCTTCTGGAGAAGTGAATGGGTGACAAGAGGGCTCCATATGTCAAGTTCTCCAGGTGAGAGATATTCAATCTAACAATGAAGCATGGGAAGATCAAATGTCTTAAGAGGGAGCAGGGTTAGGATCACTCACATCTTCCTCCTTTAATGAGGAGGAGCAAGAAAGATGAGACAGACAGGGCTGGAGTGAAGACACACTTGGAGCTGAGTGCTAGCTAAGTTAGCACAGCTCAGCCTCTGCCCCCAATTCCTATAAACCACTATACAGGAAAAACATAAATGAGAGTAAAAAGAGAAGTTGGTTGTTCTCTTTGTCTTTGATCTTTTTATCTCCATCCCTTTTTCTATGCTTTTTCAAATTGTTTTACCTTTTGGAAGAAAGCACCCACTGTGATATTAAAACACTCAATGCTCTGCTCTACTGTGAGAATTCTCTTGCTATGCTGAACTTAGGACACAGTCCAGATGTGGCTGTCCTGTCAGAGGACAGAAGTGAGTGGGCTCTCTACTTCAAGTCCCCCTGAGGGTAGAGCACCAGCTTCCACAGCTCTCCACTTCTGATGATAGGAGGTCAATTCTTCACGGAGACAGCCATTTGCCTGCCTTGGACACCAAGAAAATTAATGCAGAGACAACACTCAAAGCAGAAAGGCAGAGTAAGATGTAGAAACAGGCTGCAACCATACTTCTTCAAGTGAGCAAGACAGGATGGTGACGTTTGGTGCCAAGGTGTTTCTGACGTCTATTCCTTGTGGTTTCCCTTTCTTGGCTCCTTGGCTCACAGCTGCTGGGTTGGACACTTCTCCTAAGGCAGGGTCAGGATGACTCTTCCAGGGCATTGACCACCTGCTCCAGGATGTCAGGGCAGTGGTCTGCTATCTGTTGCAGGATGGCGTTGGCAAACTCCTGAAGCTCTGCATTGTCCCGCTCACACTTTTCTAACTCATTCTGAAGCTGAAAATGAAAGGGGAGGTAGATTTCAGATAAAATAAAACAATTTGCACTGAATTAAAATTACTGCTTAGCAAAAAAAGGACGTAGAAGAAAAAAGAATTACTGCAAAATAATCCAATATAGTCCAGTAGTCCATAACACTAGTGGGTTATCTGTAGGACTGGCAATGTCAAAAGTTGTTGACTTGAGTCTTTTACAGCTCAGCTTATTAATATACTTTATTTATTATTTATTTTGCTCCGAATGCCTTCAGGGCAGGTTTGGCTGGCTTGAGTTGTGGGGATCGAACCACAGCAACCTGAGCCTGACTGCTTTGTTGAAGCAGCCACTTAAGAACTGAGCTAAGGGGCAGGCCCCCCAGCTTTACTTTTTATACTTCATTTTTATACTTTTCTGCTGGATGGTTAAGACCAAGATAAAGTAAGATCTATGAAACAAGAATTGTAGCTTTTGGATCTGATAAAGTCAGTCAAAGCCCCTCAGGATTTGTCTTGAGACTCTGTACCTCAGATTGTAGATCTTTTGTCAGTGTCAGCCATGTGATTTTCTATTATCTTGTTTTGAAATTCTGTATTTTGTTTTAATTACTGTCTTTAAAATAAAAAAAAGGGCGGGGGGGGCAGGGAGATGGCTCACTAGAATAAGCACTTCTCTGGCAAGCACAAGGGCCTGAGTTCAATCCCCAGCTCTGCAATAAATAAATAAACCAATAAAATAAATTTACAAAAGAATGAAGGAGAATGGAGAGTCACTTTTGACAATCGCTAACTGAGGAAACAACAAGTTAGATGAAAAATATGAAGCAGAGCAGGTTTTAGAAAAGAGGGAAAAATTTTTATTATAAAACTGGGCACATATCATGCTGGCCCTGCCCCTGGGGGCGCACTGAGATGGGACTGAAACTGGGCATGGTGGCGCATGTCTGCAATCCCAGCAACTGGGAGGCTGTAAACAGGAGGATCACTATGAGATCAATCTATGCAGTGAGATCTTGTACACCCTGTCCTAAATACAAAAACAAAACAAAACAAAACAAAAACAAAAAAAAAAAAACCCCAAACCAACTGGGCACATATGACACATGCCTATAACTGGAGCACGCCAAAGGCTGAGATAGGAGGATCATGAGTTTGCGGCCAGCCTGGGTTACACAATGAGTTCAAAGTTTGTCTGGACTACACCATAAAATTGTATCTCCAAAAAACAAAAAATAAACCCTCCTCCCAAATACAGTTAAGAATATGGTCTCTGGGGTTAGAATGTCTGGCATTCAATGTCGTTTTTTATCTGTAAGATGAAGAAATAACACTTTGACATGGTTGTTTTAGGGATTAAATGAACAAAGAAAGCAGAAAGGAGATGATTAGTACTATTCTCTATTGTATTTGAAGAAGCTAATTCTTAGCTCACAGCATATAGATTCTGACAGTAGAATTAAAATATGGTTCCCTTTGCTTTTTTTTTTTTTGCATTTAGTGCAGGATCTATAGGGTCTCGCTATGTAGACTGGACTCCTAGTGATCCTCCTGTTTACAGCCTCCCAAGTATTGGGATTACAGGCATGCGCCACCATGCCCAGTCTCATTCGCTGTCTCAGCATGCCCTGGGGGGGCGGGGCTGACAGATCAAACCCCCATCCCCTGCTGTCTGCCGAAGCAGGCACTTTAATCCTGAGCTATCTGGATGGCCCTGCCTTTGCTTTTTGATCTACTTGCTTTTCTGTGCAATCTTATTTATTTAATAGCATAAACTATAACATCTAACAATTATCAAGCATTCTGGACACATTAGGCATTATGCTACACTTTATATGACTATCTCATTAAATGCTTCTGCTGCACCAGGACTTGGTGTAGACTAAGTCTGGCCCTTGAATGAGCCAGCCAGATTTAGAGAATACTAAGTCCTGATACATCTTAGGGTGTAGCTGTGTCACACAAATATGCCATGTAGGGAAAGCTAGGGGCCAGCTGCCTTGTCAAGACAGCTGCACAGACAACAAATCTAGAACATAGGCAGGTAGGAAGAGTTTAGCACTTGAGACTCAGTGGAACTGAAGCCAACCAAGGAAAGACATGAGGTTGTATTGTTTCAGGCTCCCATCTCAGGCTTTCCCAGGAAGATTCTAGACAACTCTCGTTTATATTCTCATACAGGCATTTGTGGCCTGCATGCTCTATTAGTCACTTATTTCCCATGAAAGAGTTTCTATTCTAATTTGGCTTCTCTTAAGTAGATATCATGAAATTACTAAACATTTTAGTTTAATAACTTTTTTTCAAGTTTTTCTGGCTGATTTAAAAAGTGATACACACAGGGGCTGGGGAGATGGCTCAGTAGAGTAAAGTGCTTGCCTGGCAAGTGCAAGGGCCTGACTTCAATCCCCAGTTCCGAGAAAAAAAAAAAAAAAAAAAAAAGTGCTACACACATATTCAGAAAATTTAAAAAAGTGTTAAGCGTCAAAGACCAGTTAATAGAAAAACAAAATACGAATAAAAACCTCATAGAAGAAACACAAATAACTGGTAAGCTGAGCAACATCCAACCTTGTTAATAGTTAAAAAATTACAAGGCAAATAAGATGCTTCCTGTGTCTCATACATGAGTCTGGCAAAATGGGTACTAGCAAACAAGTAGAGGTGGGAATACAGACTGCTCAGCAGTTTGGGGTCATCAACCAAATTTAATTGTACATATCCACTTTTAAGACCAGAATATAGGTCTTTCTGTGTGTAACACCACAACATCAGTTTTTGCAGCAAAAATGTGAATTTAAAACTATAAATATTCTTCAAAGCTGCATGTTTCTCCCCCTTTTTTTGAGACAGGCCCTTGTTTTGTAGTTCAGTCTGGCCTTGAACTCCGTATGTACCCCCGGCTGGCCTTGAACTCATGGTGATCCTCCTACCTCTGCCTTCTCTAAATGTTGAGATTACATAGGTGTGTGCCACCACACGTAGCTCAATCCTAAGACACTGAAAAGGGATAGTTACAAGTATATACACTATTCACTTAAACTATTAACTGGCCAATAGAAAGGAATGAAATTCTGATAAATGCTACACAGTAGGTCTAGCTAATATATATTTACATAATACCATTCTGGTATGTAAAAGCCAGTCACAAAAGATTGCATATTGTATGATTCCATTTTCATGTAATATCCAGACAAGGTAAATTCAGAGTGAGAAACTAGACAAGTGGTTGTCTAGGACTGGAATATGATGGGGTAGCTAGGATTAACTACCAGCGGGTATAAGTTTCTTTTGGGATGATAAAAATATTTGAAAATAGATTAACAGTGATGGATGCACAACTTTGAAAACATATGAAACATACTGAATTACATATATGAAATGGGAAAATTATATGGCATGTGGATTATATATTCAAAAACCTATAAGAAAGTATAAATGACCACTCAGAAGTAGAGAGAAGTAAAGGCTCTTGCTCTTTGCCTCCACCATGAAAGGTTGCTTTCTGCTGTGTGCTGCTCTGCATTGGACCCAGCTGAGTATGGACTGAAGCCTCCAGTAACTGTTAGCTAAATAAACCTTTCCTTCCTTCAAAAAAAAAAAGAAGTAGAGAGAAGTAGAAAGAAAGTATTATTCCTTTCAATTTGAACAGAAGGAGGAAGAACGTGCATTGATAGCAGAGGACAGAAATAGGGTAATTTCAAATGGAGAAAGAATGGGAGCTAAGGCAGAAAGCAGAAAAATGTGGCTGGGTGTTCCCAGAAGTTCAGGGCTATAGGAATTATTGGATCTTGACTGAGTAACACTAGCTCTTCGAGAGTGACAAAGGACCTGGCCTGGCTGGGCTTCGGGAAACACCCATGGAGATCCTCTCTGCATTACACAGTTTCAACTATGGGGCCCTATAGTTCATTTCAGACACCTCACTACCAGAAACACAGGGAACAACTGGAGTAAGTTCAAAGAAACATAAAGGTATGATTAAGAAGCTGAAAGGACCAGTTTATGACAAAGAATTAGAAGGACTAAATATATAGACTCAAACTCAGTGAATATTAAAGAAGGAAGGAAATGTGATTATTACCTGTGAATGTTAGGGGAGTGAAGTGACTTAGCACTGGAGGAGGAAGTAAGACTACAAGTAATGAAACTGAGGAAATAAGCAAAAGCACGCTGCCTGTGCCTAATAGCTCTGCTCCCTGTCCCTGTGCCTACCATGGCCACTATTCAGCAGCTGGTAGGAAGATGGTGTCTGCTGGGCAGCAAAAGCCCTGAGGACTACATGAAGGAGTTAGGAGTGGGAGTAGCTATGTAAAAAATGGGTGCAATGGCTAAGGCAAATTGTATCACACTTGTGATGGCAATCACCTTACCCTTAAAACTGGCAGCACCCTGGAGACAACAGTTTTCTTGTAACCTGGGAGAAAAGTTTGAGGAGACTACAGCTGATGGCTGAAAAACTCAGAAATGGGAAAATTATATAGCATGTGAATTATATATTTAAAAACCTGTAAGATTTTTAAACCTTCTAGAAGCTTCTGCACCTTTACAGATGGTCTGCTGAAGAGCACTGGAGTGGGATGGGAAAGAAAGCACAATAATCAGAAAACTGCAAGATGGGAACTGAGTTGTGGATTGTGCTGTCAACAGTATCACCTGTACTTAGGTCTATGTAAGAGGAAAACAAATATCATCTCTTGGACAGGAATTAGCTTTGAGAATGAATCAGCTCAGTTCAATGAGAAATCTCCATACTTCATTTACTTTTGTCATTATTTTGCTCAACTGTCTTTATCACAAGCATTTTACATGCAACTATTGCAAATTGTTGATTTCATCAGGATCATGTCTTTGGTTAGTAAATAAATACATAAATGTGTTTATGCTAATGATGATGATGATAATAATAGCAGCAACAACAAATCCAGAAGTAGATAAGGCTATGCTTTTTCTCAAGTTCTAATGAATTATTTTCTTAGGAAAAGGCAATTACAAGTAGAGGAATCTGAAGGACCAAAACATTTA